AGAAATGGACAGTGCCTGGGCATCAGGGTTGGGCAGGCTGCCCCGTCTCCTTGGGAAGTGGAAGGAAGAAGCAGCAACTGTTCTCTATAAAGATCACAAATGGTCTAAAATCATTTAATTTTTCCACTCTTTCCAGTGAAACAAAAGACTAGAAGGGAGAGGAGGAAACACAGAGGAAACAAAAGGAAAGAGGGAGGCCTATGTACAGTAGAGACAGTGGCATAGAACCAATAAATAAGAGGTGAAAGGACAAAGCTCTGGAGTCCTCAAAATGCCCACGGACACTGAAAGAGGCCTCAGTGATCACAGCCCTGGGGCATAGCTGCTCTGCCAGCCACTGGAATGCCCAGCAGTGGCATGGTATGTGGCCATGACTTTCCATATCATAACCAGTCTTGGAGAGGAGGAGGCACTGCCCCTGAATTCCATGCCCCCCAGCATTTGATAGGGTTCCTCATCCATAGGAGACTCCCAATTGGTACTTGCTGGGTAAGTAGATGATTGGATGGATGGATGAGTAGATGGACAGATGAATGGATGAACGGAGAGAGATGGATGACAGATGAATAAATGAACAGAATCCCTCCAGGAAGCTGAGATGAAGCCCAGGGCCAAATGACTGTGGACTGGAGTTCTCCCCATCAAGCCTGACCTAGAGAAGAACAAGAACAATAAGACATGTAAACTGTAGGGTGTTAACTTCTAACACCCTGGAAAGAACCCCAAGAACACACCAGTCCTGAAGTCTGGATTTCCTGCCCCAAGCTAGGTAGCCCTCCCTGCTGACATCCCAGCCTCAACTCCAGCCACTCCCTCCCCTGCACACCCATGACTGCAACTGCATGACATACAAGTTCCTGAATACACTAGGGATCTCCTGACCCCTCTCTCCAGCCCTTCCTTGTCCAGAGTTAGTGCAAGTTCATTCCTACAGACCCAGACCCAGAATCACCTAGTCCAGGAAGCTTCCGTTGACCCTCTGATGACCCCATCTGTCCGTGGCCAGAGGACATCTCTCTGTCTTCCGTGCTCTTACAAGACCTGGCCACACCTCTGCCATTACAGGTAAAGGGGTCTGTTCACACCTCAGTCCTCCCCACCAAGCTGGGAGCCCTGTGAGAGCAGGGACAACAGCCTACATGCCCACATAGAACTTGGCACAGGCTGGGGCTCAGTAAATGCTAGAGAAGTGACAGGAAGAGCCATGAGCAGAAGACAGAAAGCTCCAGCAGCCACCGGCAGGATTCCCAGAGCAAGACCCCTCTCAGCAGCTGCTGCCTTGGTCACTTCAGCCCTTCCATGGGCCATGATCCCCAGCTGGTGAGGAAGCTGACAGGCTTGCATGAGGAGAACATCACAGGTAGTTGTCACTGTGCACTGAAGTCCCACTGAGCAACCTGTGGCCCAGAGAACCAAGGTCCAGCTGAGGATCCAATGAGTCCAATCCACTCCCCAATTAGGGTATGACTGGAAAGAGTCATACCCACACTCACATGGAGGGTCCCAAGGTCAAGCCCAGGACAGAACAGGCCCCCCTGGAGGAAGGGACCTTCCACAGCCTATACCCTCGGCAGCCCCCAGAGCAGCCCCATGGTGGCCCCAGGCCTGGGACCTGGAGACCTGAGTTCTATCACCCTCAGGCCCATCCTCCCCAAGGGGAGCCTCTCCACACGTCTTTAAGATGATGCAGTGTTGTGGTGGCTACTAATATGGTGATGAGGAGGCCTCAGAGGATGAATGTGGAATAAAGACTGAGCGAGGGATGTGAGGGGTCTCTAGGTGGGGCCTGACACACAAGCCCACAGTGTCTCCAGGTGGGCCCCAGCACCTTGGCCTGCCACAACTCCTCCACTCACCCACTCACTGCCAAGGCCAGGCTCGCAGAACCTGTAGGCCCCGCCAGCAGAGCCCCTCATGAAGTGGAATCACAGAGAGGCTGGTGGTGCCATGTGCCCCCAGGCCAACAGCCACCTGCAGTGAATGAATGCTATTTTGCAAAATGTAAAAGATTCCAGCAGCTCTGTCTTCCTTACTCCCTCCCTCTCCCATGTGACTAGGCTTTTTGAGCAGGGAAGAGGAGAACTTACAACTAGGAAAGCCACATAGCCCACGCCAACTGTAGCTCATCCGTACCATCCCAGATGCGGCATAACATTGACATGCAGTCGATGTGTGGGGGGCGCTACGGGACATTTACTCCTCCTTAACTGTGCTTTGGGCTTCATAAAATTCAGGACATGTTCTGGCAGTGTGTCATCCTTGTGAACATCATTTGTCCTTGTCACAACAAAGAGGAGGTTGGGTCATCTGCTCAAGAAACCCATGCAATGCCTCCAGGTGGTGAGGAAGGCTTCGTGCAGGGACAGCACTCCCAGGTGTTCCTAGGGGACCTGCTGGGCTAGCCAGTCAGACAGCTCATGTTTACTCCAGAATCCACATTTCTTCCCCACCACACTTAGGAGATACGTTAAAATGCTTTGCATATAAGTACCCTGAGAACCTCTGCCAAACCCTGGCCAGAGACACTGGAACCATATCTTTCCCCATGAAGCCAGCATGCCCTATTTCCCCACTCCAGCAAGTGCAGTGCTGTACGCTGTGTTCCTGGAATCATCACAGATGGAAGAGAGGGGCTCTGGAGGGAGTAAAATCCGGACTTGAATCCTGTTCAACGCCTAAGTGGCTATTTGTGTGACCTTAAGCAAGTCATTTAACAACTTTAGCTTTTCCGTTTCCTCTGTCTGCAAAGTGTGAGGATTAGAGAACGCACAAAGGACCAGAGCCATCGTGGGCATGTGAGAAACCTCAGCTTCTTCGCTCCCAATAGCAGGCACATGGGAACAGGGATCAAGACTCTTATCATTGGTGGAGACTGAAGACTACGGTGGGAGCTGTTGGCCCAAAGTCCAAATGCCATCCTTCCCCCCAGTCTCCTGCCAACACTCCCAAAGACTTGACTGAAGTTAAGAGTGGAGCAAAAGAAACTGTAGCATACTAGAGGGTGGGGATTTAGAAACGACCTACTGGATACTATTCTCACCACCTGGGTGACAGGATCCATACTCCAAACCTCAGCATCACACAAGATTCCCATGTAAAAAATCTGCACATGTACCCCCTGTATCTAAAATAAAAGTTGAAATTTAAAAATAAAATAATGGCCTGACCAAAAAAAGAGTGGCCACCCCAGAGGCATCCCCAGTCCCATCACACCCAGCAATGCGAGCAGGACAAAGCAAGCCCAGCGAATCCACCACTGCAGGCGCTTGCATAATTAACCACTTGGAAATAACACCCTTAGGCCAGTCTTAGTTATGTGTTAAATCCTCACAGGGCTAGAAACGGGAAGGGGCTAAAATCTTCTAGAAGGAAAATGCATGAATATGTGCAGTGAAAATAAAACAGATGCTTCTTTAAAAGCTATACGCTAAATGCTTTATCATAGCTGTCTCCTTCATCCCTTTTAACAGATGAAGAAACAGAGGCTAAGATGGTGATGCAAATGGCCCAAGGTCACACAAATAATAATTCAGGGAGCTGGGACTTGCCCCCAAATCCGTTCAACTCCAAAGCCAATAGTCTTTCCACCCCCAAGCTTCACAGCAGAGCAAGGAGGAAAGGAAGCAAGGGGAAGGGGCAAGGAATTGACGAGAAGCAAGAAGCAAGGGGAACAGCAATGAGATTAGCCGACACCATCACCAGTACAGACTCCAGCTGGGGAAATACTGCCAGAAGAGCCATCCCCTGAGCAGACTTTTGCAAACGCACAGCTGGGTATATTCTGAGAAAGAATGGACATGTTAGTGCTGCTAATCCCAGGCTGCCCATTACTGGACTGAATCACTTCACACAGGGCAACATGTTCTGGTGAAAATGCCGGGAGCCGACAGGACATCACAGCCTGACGGACCACCGGCGTGATTCGGGGCCTGCTTAGCAGAGAGCATCAGGGCTGCTGGCCAATTGTACCATATTAAGCTTTCCAAATTTTAAGTTCCCCAGCAGTGGGCTTTGGGCTGGCTCCTGATGCATGAGGTAGCATTCTGAGTAATAATTAATTAGAGGGAAAAGCAGAATAAGCAAGCAAAGAACATCAAATGGAATTAGTATAATGCCATGCTTCACTTCAGTTTACTTTCAATCAGAGAGGACCAGCAAGGTGACTGGGGTTGTCTGGAGAATCTGCAGGGAGCTCTTGGCCACCCTGTGACCTGTTCAATCCGCCTCTGCTCCCAGGCACACCACATCCCCAGCTCACCCCTCAAAACCAACCCAGGCCAGAGGGAGACCTGCCAACTCCAGCCCATCACCTCTCTGCCACTAGACTACCTGGGCCGGCGCCAATCAGCCAACTCATAGGTTATTTCTAGTTTGTTCTCAAATTAACGAATTCTTTACAAATGAATGGATTCTTTACTAACTAATGGATTCTTAAACTGATGGACCCTGTCTCCATTAGAAGGCTCCAACCTCGAACAGAGATGTTTATAAAAGAAATAAATGATTATTAGCCCAAGTGCCAAAAAAAACAAGAACGTCTAATGTATCCTTCAACGATAGGCAAAGACACCTCTTCCAGGTGCTAAGAAATCCCAAGGCAGACCTACCCACCTCTGCAGAAAGCTGGAAATTTATTTTATCCCTAGAGGCTTACACCTGTCAACAAAGAGAGGAAAATTAAAAAAAAAAAAAAAAAAAAAAAGGCCTGAGTCTTGCATCAGAAATCTCTGGCAGTGACTTGCAAACAGGCTTCCCATCAGCCTCCCCACAGCTTCTCAGAGGCTGGGCAGGCCTTGAGTGACCTGTCAGGGAACAATCAGGAGCCAAGTAGTGCTCAGAGAATCCCCCCTCACAGGCTGTGTGCTGTGGGCCGAGCACCCACGTGTCTCCATGTCCATTTAGGCTGTGCATAAGACGACTGTGCCCTACAGCTCACCTGAGCCATCTTCTGCAGAGCCCTGGGCACCAGGCCCCTGAGGCCTCAGGCCCCCACGACCTACCTCGTTGATGAAGGAGTGGGCTCCCTGAGGGCTGAGCAGCAGGATGGCGCGGCGAAGCGTGTCCCGGTAGCGATTCAGCTCCTCTGTCTTCATCGTGGTGAAGAGGCTGGTGAATACGTGGCTAATGTTCTTGTCCACCTTTTGTAAAGAGACGTCAAGGCCCAGCCGCGAGGCCTGGTCCAGAAAGCTTTGAAGCCCACGGATATCTGAGCAGTGGGAGAAGAGGAGGAGGAGAAAAATCATCTTTAAGGGGGAATGCACCGGGGAGGGTGTCTAACTCCAACACGTTCCACCCCTGCAGGCCACCGCGAAAAACAAGGGTCCAAGTCTGCCTCAGGGATTCCCCTCAACAGAGGTTGGAGGACACCGGCGTAGACCCAGCCGTGCTCACCCATGTCCAGCCCTGGCTGACTGTCTCCCCCAACAGGTTGGATGCCATCCAACAGGTCCTATGGCCAGAACGTGCCCTTGATTCACAACAAGCTCTCTGTCTCTCCCTATATGGGCCCAATCACAGCAATTCTGGCCTTCAGGCCACATTTGCTGGAGGTCCCTGGGCCTGACATCCCCAGTCCCCTCCAACTCCCTCTGCTCTCTACATGAGGCTCCTTGACCAACCATGGCCAGTTGAGGCCACTGACTGGAGTGGGCCTGGCCTCAGCAGATGGGCAGTTCAAGCCCTCAGTCCCTGCACCAATCCTGCAAATGCACAGCCTGCACCACAGCACCCCAGTCCTGAGGTGTGGGACCCCATCTGGCTTCAGGGACCTGATTTTCCTTGATGAAACATTCCTCCTGCCTGTTTCCAGCTGGAGTGACTCTCACTTCAAGTCCAGTCAGAAGCCCACATCCTGACTGGATCAGGGATGAGCAGGGGGTTCAAGGAGGTACAGAGAGAGCCCATCCTGGCACGTTGGTGATCACTGGGAGAGAGGCCTGTAGGCACGAACCACCCAGGGATGGAAGATTCAACAAGAAGGAACCTGGAAGCCAATACAGTTGCACTGCACAATGCTACAAATCTATCCTTGCGAGGCCTGAGGGTGCTAAAGTTTTTTCAACCAGTGCCAAAATCATCTCTTGGCAGCAGCCTTGTAGAAGCCATTTGACTTTCCCAAAAAGAGACATGCCCAGAACAGAGGCAGGCAGGTCTGAGAGTAAGACATGGTCCTGACGATGTCATTTCAGCCCCTGGGTCCATGTGAGGCTGAAGCCTGTTTCTCCCGAACTTTCCAGTTTCATGAGCCAGTGAATGCCTTTGCTTGCCAAAGGTGGGTCATGTGCAGCCCAGAGTCTCAATCCACAGGCCATTTTTTCACAGCCTGGGATGTTTCTTGCATCTGGCCCATCCTTGCATTTCACCTCCCATAAGCAAGACCCATGCCTGAGTCGCACCCTCCAAAGGACACTCTAGGTCTGCCCAGATCCACAAGCTTCACTGTCGCCATGCCCTGGGATGCCCACACGCACAGCCTGGCCCATGCAGTCACCAAGATCGAAATGCAAATAAACAGTGTTAGTTCAACCAGGTTTTGCTCCTGACCAGTCCCTCTCCAAAACTCTCTCTGTACTCATTTTGCAAACTTCCTGGTCTACACTCATGCCAAGTGCCATGCAAGCTGCTGCAGAAGTCCGGGGCTCCCTGTTGTGCCAAGAGGGCAGGCTCACCACTAAGTGTAGTCCCAGCTGGACTGTGTGACAGGAGCCATCATGGAGAACCAAGCAGTGCGAAGGAGGAGAGCAGAGCACTATGGCCATCGTGATGAGGGTGCTGGGAGCTGTGCACAGGGACCCCCTTCCCACTGCAGGGGGAAAGCCCTGGACTAGGGCCTCAGCACCTGCCAGGAACCCCGACACCTAGGACTCAGTGCAGTCCCTGAAGCCCTCAGGCAAATCACCATCCCCTTTGAGCCTGAGGGCTCTCTGTAAAATGGGGATGAAAATCGCCAACTACCATTTTCCTGGGACTCTGAGAAACCACACTTCCTGTGCAGGCCACCTGCTTGTGTCTCAGGAGCCTGCACCTGGGAGTACAGGGAGCCCACCTCCTGGTGGTGCATGGGGAGGGCAAAGTACCACACAAATGAGAACCCTGGGGCCCTCTAGAGATGGCAAATGTGTGACCATCCAACCATGACCTCAGCTGGCCCCTTGTCCATCAGCAGCCTGGTCCCTGGAGCACAGCCATGTGACCTAACCCACTGGCTTCACAAAGCACAGGGGTCTCGGTGTCGCTGTTCCCACTGTGTCAGACAGGAAGGAGAGCCAGCCCCAGGGCTGGGATGAAGTGGCCAGCACAGGGCTCCCCCAAAGTGAGGAAAGGTAGCCAACTGAGGACAATACGGTGCCTTACACCTGCACCGGCGCTCCAGGCCCCCAACACACAAGCCCCAGGCTCTCAACACCCTTGGGGTTCCCAGAGAGGCAATTTAGTCTCCATCAGCCTGCTCAGGGCTATGCAGATCTGTAGCTCCCAAGCTTCTTGAAAGAAAAGGTGAAGAAGATAAAGACCTCTTCTTAACCAATCAGAGGGAGTAGCAGGGCAAGCGTGCAGAGATGGCTCAGGAGCCCCAACCAGAAACACAAGCGCTGGTGTCAGCCCCAGTCCTGCCCTCTCTGGAGCACAGCACAATGCAAATCTGTCCATCATAAGCTGGAGGACATCTCAGCACCCAGCGGCCACCCACACCAAAACCAGCAGTGGGCAGCTGTGCTGGGCACATAAAAGCCTTCCATGGGTGCCAATGAGGGTTTCCCCCTGGATCTGGGCTGTACATAACACAATCTTTAGCCATATATGGCCATTAAAACTTCAATTAATTGAAGAGAAACACAATTAGATGCTCAGCTCCTCAGGTGCACTAGCCACATTTTAAGTACTCAACAGCCACATCTGGCTGGTGGCTACCATGTTGGACAGCACAGATATAGATCATATGAGATTGATCATCACAGAAAGTCCTATTGCCTGGTACTGCCTGGAGAAACCACCTTTAACCAGTGTGGTGTAAACAATATTCCTAAATATGGGAGACTGGCTGCCTTCAGGCCCCTGGCAAAGGCTCCTAATCCCAGGCTTTTTGTTCTCTCACTGTGAGGACTCCTCCAGCTCCAGCTCCGGCCTCGGCCAAGTGACCCACTTTGACTATGGGACAGTAGTAAACTTGACGCACACATAGGTTTGAAAAAAGCATTTGTGCATTTCCATTTCCACTCTTGGACCATGCCACCACCATGAGAATATCCCCAGGACAGCTGCTGGAGGAATGTGGACACACAGAGGAGAGTGAGGCAGGCACCCAGGCAGCCATGCCCAGCTGCAAGCCAGCCGAACTCAGATGCACGAGCAAGCCCAGAACAGAACCGCCCAGTTGACCTATAGACTCATAAAAAATAATAAATGACTGCTGTTCTAAGCCACTAAGTTTTGGGATCATCTGTTTCCCAGCAATAACAAACCGATAGATCAAGGTCATCGGATGCACTGTATCTGGTATAGCTTATGAAAACGTTAAGTGAAAGAGCAACACCTTTGCCTTTAAAAATTGCCCTGCCACAGCTTACCTGTGGAACTGTCCACACAGGGCTGAGTGCTAGCCAGCCCCAGGATGAGGCCACATGTCCACAGGGAGCTTCTGCAGCCCTGTCCCTTCCTTAGAACACCAGTGGTCCTCACGGCCCATGGCCTTGGTTGTGACCCAGATCCGAGCACAGCTGCATGATGGGCATGAAGGTGGGATCCTGAGACCTGTCATTTACAAGCTTCTGCTCCTTCCAGCATCTTCTAAGGCCACTGCAAGTCTTTAAAATGGCAGAGACTGGCCATGTCTACAGAGCATACCTTTCTGCACATCTACCATGTGTACCATGAGGGCTTGCATGAGTCCATGAGTCTGGTAGGGACACCCATGGGGCCCCAGGGACATTATGCCTCATGCCAGCATGGCCAGTCCTCTCAGCCTGGGGTAAAATTCTCCTTCAGTCCCTTCCCTGAGCTCCCTCTACCTAAAACCATCTCAACCCATAGGACTATTTCATTTCTTCAGGGAATAGGAGATGCCATGGGCAGGTAGCACCTGTCTTGGCATCCATGAGTACACGAGAACATGCCATATGGGAGGACACAAGCCCTCAGAGCTCCTCTGCACCTCCCACTGCTGCATTTCTGGCTTCTATTCCAGCAGCCCCTAATGGGACTGAGGGTTTACAATCCATCAGAGAGAGTTTAAGCTCCCTGCCAGCGGTGGCTCCTCACGCCTGAAATCAGTGATGCCAGCTGAAGCCAGTGTTCCCGAGGGACCACAGCCCCTGGCTACCACCACCTGCTCCCAGTTGGCTGACAAGGTCAACTCTCAGCCTCCTTTCCCTGAAGCTTCTGTCCAGCTGCACTTGGGGTGGGGCTAGAGGCAGAGTAACAGTGGGGAGCCCAAGCCTGTGCTGCAGCCCTCCTGCCACTCTCCAGGAATGGGGCCACGGAAGCTCACTTCTTCCACAAAGTCCTTTACTCCCTTCAAGGAACCGAATTTGTAATTCCACCCTACCCCAACCCCCACCCCCAAAAAAACCTGACTGCTGCTGCTGCTCACAGAGAATTCCCCAAGAGGTTAGACAATGAACAGATCTGGGGTTTCCCCCACTGGGCCACAGAGTGAGTGCCCCTCCCCTGGAATCCCTTGGCTCCCACAGGGCTCTGGACTTTGTCCCAGGGCCTCCCCAGCAAGCTCACTATACACACTGGCCAGCCCTACCCACCATCACCAATGCAGCTTCCACCAACCACATGCACCTCCCCCCGCCCCTGGGGAAGGTTGCTGACTGAGGCCTTGTCAGGCCTCGCATTAACCTGATCCAGAACAGGCATGAGAAAGGCAATGGCCACTGGGTCTCCAGGCAGCCAGGAGAGGCATGGACTCTGGAAAAGGCCACTGGACACTGCAGGGATAGGGAGGAGCTCCCTAGAGAGGAGTCCTGTGCCTTAGACAAAGGAGGAAGCTTGGGGAGCATGGGCCAGTCCACTCCTGCGAGGAATGCAAGGTGACGGTGCCCGGGTCAGGCCTTGACGTTGCCTCTCTGCCTGCCAGCACCCATCCGTTCCTTCTTCCCCCAGTACTCACTGAGCACTCTGTATCTGTCTCTCCCCTGGGTATGGGAAAACAAAACTGAATGAGCCCCTGTATCACTTAACTTAACATTTCAGAGGCTGAGA